ATTTGCAGGAAGTGGTACCTGCATTTCTCGACTTCGCCGAAACACATAGCTGCAGTGACAGTTCGCTATGCGCCAGCGTATGTCCTTTGCGAGACACGTTGCATTTCTTGATGAACTTCGGCGACGTGGTTCTGCTGGCGCTGAAGCAGGAAGACCAGTTTCGTGCGTACGCATTCGTATGCCGAGAGGCTTTCGAACACGGCAACGAGTTTTTCGTAGATTTTCTGAGGGATACAACCACTTGGGAGGATCGCACTGACTCGTCGATCGGCGCGCTCATGAGTTCGCTGTTTGTGTTTTGCGCCGGATGTGTGAGGAAGGTTTTTGAATCTCATCTCGAAGGTGGACGAGGACTGAAGTTGATCGAAGCGGCCGCCCGCTTGTGCATTGCCGAAACGAGTGCTGCTGATGACCGCGCTCACCTGAATCAGGTGTTCGACCAGATCGGGTCGTTGTCGTCGTCTTCGGACTACGTTTCGGACCGTCCGATTCGAGACAGCGGCGACTTAGCAACGGTACTGGTCGTGCTTGAGACGTTAGTCGTTATTCCGTTCGAATATTTTGCTGTGCGACAGCGGACCGTCTTTTTGACGTTCTCTGCCGCACTCCTGCATGTCCTCTGTTCAGGCGTGGTCGGCCGCGATGTATCAGACATTCTGATGAAAAGCGTACGACTCTGTTGTACGTTGGTCATGTCCCTGCTCGAGCAGCCCGACACTTGTACCGGTCTTCAGGAGCCAGTTGACGTTTTGGTGTCGTTGACGCGGTCATTATTCCGCTGTGTCGCGTTGTCCAGAAACGACTGGCTGTTGGACGCGGCCCGATGCATCGTTGGCCGATGCGTCTTGGTCATGCCTTTGCAGTGTCAATTTGCCATCTTTCAACCGAGCCTGACTTTTCTGACTGACAATGACGACGACTTTCCCGACGATGACAGTGACGACGAACTTCTACTTGACACGCTATACCAAATCAGCTGTTTGAAAGAGGCGCGCCAAGTGACTGCCTTGCCTGACGACATGCTTTCAACACTGGACTCGATCCTGTGCCATCGACATGATGGGTGGCAGCGGGAGCCGACTTCGACAAACCTTTTTTTCAGGTGTTTCTTGCCATGTGTTGATTTCTGGTGTCTTCTTTCTGCCGAAGCTCCGTATGCTTGCACACAGTTCCAAGACGACTTGTGTCGTGAGTACATCCGTCGCATGCCCGACGTGTCGCTGGATCTGTTTGTGAAGAGCGTGCGACACAGCGCCGAATTTTTCTTTTATCCGGCCAACATAGAAAAGTACGGCGACTTGTTTTTGGACGCATACTGTCAAGGACCAAAGCAGTTAGACTTGGACAGTTTTACTGTTGACTCCGACGACATTCAGCTAATGACGATGTTGATCAGTCAGTTTAGTGAGGAACACGTGAAGATGTTATTTTCCGACTCAGATGAGGATAACCTTGGTTGGAAGGTTTACGTTACGTTTCTGACGGTGAAGGCTCTGCCTGCCGCCAAAAAGCAGGAACTCGTCAGTTCGGTGCAGACCAATTACATTGCGTGCCTGATTCAGCAATTTTTTTCCAACTTGCCCATGGTGGAGATGTTGCACAACGAGGAGGCTCACTGTTCGCTTTTTATTTTGAGGTTGGCCACCGCGTTGGTCCGCGACAAAAGCCTTGGTCTGCGAAAGAAACAAATCGTTCTTACCGCGCTTAATTTAGCCGCTGACGTTCCGTTTGACGGCGAATACGACGACGAGTTCTGCCCTCGTTTTCAAGCAGTAACTCTTTTGTTAGCCAGCTGTTTCACTCATAGCGCACGACT